GGGCATTGCTAGGAATCACTATGGAAAGTGTATACTCTTCTTCTCTACCCCTTCTATGGCGGATTCCCCTCTTGAGGCTGAGGCTCGAGCTATTTTATCTGTTGTTTTATTGGCTTATTCTCTCAATTGGAAGTAAATTATCTTTGAAAGTGATAATAGTTCTTTGATTGATATTTTTACTAATGGTGCCGACACCCCTTGGGATATTGTTTACTATATTAGGAGGATTAAAAGATTAATTTCTAATATGAATGTCGTTTGGAATTTCATCTACAGGGAGGATAATCAAACCGCAAATTGGCTTGTTAAATTGGGGTGCGCTAGTCATATAGGTAGGGTGGGAGTAACTCCTGCCCCCTCTCTCTATACTCTGATGGTTGGGGATAATATTGATACCCCTTATATTCATACTAATGTCTCATCTTGATGTGTGTTGGGTGGTCGAGTGACTTGGATCAGCTTATACGTAATTCCAGCTAGAAGTTTCTTGCGTTTATTCTTTTTTGAAAAATTTGGAGTTAAGGGAGTATGAGATTATGGCTACTTATATTTTTTATTTATGTTATGTCCGGCCTCTTATCTTTGGCATGGAGGTCCAGGAATCCTTTGATTTTTCTGCTGAGTTTTATTTGGGAGGCCCACGACTCCCTATTTGCTGGTGGCTGAATTTATGGAGATGGAGGGTTTCTCAGTTTAAGGGCCGGGAGGTTGTGCTGGGTGGTTTTGCTTTTGGGATGTATCATATTGGCTGCCTTATTTTTAGCATGGAGGCCCAGGGCTCCTTTGCTACTTTGGTGGTGGTGGTTTGGATGTGCTATATTGGAAGTAGGGCTCTTGGGAGATATAGTGTATGGGCTAGTTTCACGGGTAAGAAGGGTAGTTGGAGGCTCGAAGAGTTGCTCTTTTTTCATCTGGGTATTATTTGTGACCATGTTATTTTCTATTTGGAGGCCCATGGCTCCAATTTCTCTCTGTCTCTCCATACTTCAGGTGGTTTTATTAGGTCCGTTTGGACTAGCTTTGCTGATTGGGAGGTTGGAGGAATGAGGATCATCTTTTCCTTTCTTAACACTTGGAATTTCTATTTCTCTACTGTTTTCTCAGTTCTTTTTTAGTTGCAGGATGCGGATTCCTTGGTCAGGTTGCGGCTTTCTGGTTTTGAGATGTTGTTGTTTGCTATACAGATTCTTATTTTTTTGTTTCTTTTGATATACATGTTCATAGAGGGTATACGTTTTGGTTTGATACATGTATATTTAGGTTAGCCTTAATCTCCTTTCTGTTCTTTTATTTTCTTGGGTGGAGTTGTACTGTAGAAAATGGAATCCCTAAGACTTTATGTGTTCTTTTGTTTTTTTAGCGGGGATCCAGTTTTGCGACTAAACCTTTGTAATCCTTCTTTTGATATCAACGCGTAAGGAGCCACGAGCTGCTCTTGCTATATATATATATA